CAGTAAGGACTGCAAACCCAACGACGTCCCAGAAGGCGAATTGGGATATGTAGAAGAATGGGTTGGTGTACAGTGGGAGGAGGTCTCTTCGAAGAAGTAGAGAGAAAAGATACCCTTTGTTCTGCTGTTCAATTGGTTCACGTTTCCGAGTAAGCTGTGCTGTATAAGATGTGTATGCCGCTTGCTGCCTTCGTCACAACTGTATTTTGATTGCCGTACCCCATGGAAGTGTGCCTAGTGTGCATATACCCGTTCAGAGGTTTTGGTAGTATTACCAACACAATTTTCACTTTGACTACAAAGTCAGTTTTTTTAATACCCAATGCCGGCAGGTTGAGAGTGACCTGCTATTATTGTCTGAGATAATCGATATGATACACTACATAGAAAATACATATAAAACAAGTCAAGTAATGATGCTTGGTACTATGCTCTTACTCTTAACATTCGGAACTCTTGTCGTTCCGAAATGCTCACTACCTTACCGAAAACGGCAATTCTCTCTCGCACCCGAGAGCATCAATGGATTCGGATAGAACCTCAAATCACTTCATGAGGATAGCCATGTTCCTTCGTGGCTATACAAGGGAGGCCTGACTTTGACATGTGATGTGTGACTTGAGGTCCCCGCTAAGCCTCATCGCATACCGCCCACAATCCGCATTCTCAAAGAACAATTTGGTCATCATTAAGCCGACAAAGGGCCTTGTTCCTGCAGGCTTCTAACCGCTCATGGCAATGTAAACTTCATCGACCAATCCTTTCCTTTCTTCCAACCAATCATAATCAACACGAGAGAGCGAGGTATCGCCCGAGAAATCCGTTGCGGCTGCCGCGCGGTTTTCACGCTGGAACATTGAACTAGTTGCCCCGACGCTTGAGCTGGACACGTACATGTATCCATGTTTCTGCCTACGTTTTTTGCCAACATGGTTTGGTGTGCTCGGAGGGTTCCGGATGACGCGGTAGAAGGTGCATATATGTATGTACCTGGAGTACATGCACGATTACGCTGTCTTGTTCCTGCACGCTCTTCGCCTCATTGAGACCACCCACCACGATGGCCGCATCAGACCCACAAGTGGCTGTGCCTTCAACACCAACAACACAGCCACATATATCAACCCAGCCTGTAACCCTGCAAAACTGGCATAAGAAGATCAATTGGCTGAATACGACGCTGGTCGTCCTCATCCCAACCTATGGCCTCTATCTTTCCCTCTCCACTCCCCTCACCCGTCCTACACTGCTATGGAGCATCATTTACTATGCCACGACCGCATTTGGTATCACGGGCGGTTATCATAGATTATGGAGTCACCGCTGTTATTCTGCGCGTCTTCCTCTGCGCCTTTTTCTCGCATTCGTAGGAGCCGGAGCCATCCAGGGAAGCATACGCTGGTGGAGCGCCAATCACCGCGCTCACCATCGTTGGACAGATACCATGAAAGACCCATACTCGGTCATGCGGGGTTTACTCTTCTCCCATATTGGATGGATGGTCTTGAACACGGACCCTAAAGTGAAGGGACGTACGGACATTTCTGACCTGGACAATGACGCCATTGTCGTTTTTCAACACAGACATTATGGCAAGATTCTTATTTTTACCGCATGGATCTTTCCTGCCTTAGTCGCCGGCTTGGGATGGGGAGACTGGTGGGGAGGTCTTGTTTACGCAGGCATCATCCGGGCGTGTCTCGTTCAGCAAGCAACATTCTGCGTCAATTCGTTGGCACACTATCTTGGAGAGCAACCGTTTGATGACCGAAGGAGCCCTAGAGATCATGTGTTTACTGCTCTTGTTACCATGGGAGAAGGCTACCACAACTTTCACCACGAATTTCCTAGCGACTACCGTAAGTCTGGCCACCAAAAGAAAAATGTAAAGCCCATGTCTAACCAATTCCAGGTAACGCCATTTTGTGGTACCAATACGATCCTACCAAATGGCTGATCTGGGGCATGTCCAAAATCCCCTTCTTCCCACTAACTCAAGACCTGAAGACGTTCCGTGCCAATGAAATCGAAAAAGGTCGTCTCCAACAACAGCAAAAAGCCGTGGACAAGAAACGCGCAGCACTCGACTGGGGCACCCCACTCTCCCAGCTGCCTGTCCTCTCCTGGGACGACTTTCAAGCCCAAGCTTCTGCAAACGGCGCTGCACTGGTCGCCATCGCTGGTGTCATCCACGACGTCTCGCCTTTTATCGCCGATCACCCCGGCGGTAAGACGCTTATCAAATCGGTAATTGGGAAAGATGCAACCGCTGTATTCAACGGGGGCGTGTATGAACATTCAAATGCAGCGCATAACCTGCTGTCAACGATGAGAGTAGGTATTCTGCGCGGGGGCCAAGAAGTAGAGGTCTGGAAATCGAGTGCGGAGCGGGCGGCCAAGGATGTTAGAGGCTTGGGTATTGTCAGGGCGGGTGAGCAGGCTACGAGGGTCGCGGCGTAATGAGGATGAGGTAGCGGTAACGAGATAATGGTATGGGAGTTGAGAATGTACATGGGATGTCATCTGTAATTCATTAGAAGCGTATAGACGTAGAGATACCTGTCATTGATTCTACTCCGCCATTGATAGCAAAGGACATCTTGTCTCGCTTTGTGAACTTGATATGCCAAGCGAATCTAATACTCCGAGAATAGATGAAATGTCCGCTCGACACGCTAGTTGTATTCAATTCTGAGAACTAATGATGCAAACCTCACTTTGGTACACACATCTCTGACACGTGAAACATTAGTGTCGCTGATACGAAGGGATATATAAGATGGTGCTTTGTAAACCCTCTGCCCGAATGCTATTCATACAATGAATGCTGTGTTATCGCTGAATAGAGAAATTACTGATTATGGCATCGAAATGCTAGATGGAATCACGACGCAGATATTTTCTTCCATAAAGAGATGTATCCATTAAAAAAAGCTTACTAGAGAATATTAAGTTTCAGGAACTGAGTGATGCATCTGATGCATGATTTACGGGCAAATTGAGCAGCAGATTTCGTGTTGAAGGAGCATGTGGAAAGCATGAAATAGGAAATGTTGAAGGAAATATGGAATCGCAATGGTGGGAATGCACAAGATGGTTTGAAGCCGCTCAGCCGCTCAGCCGCTCTTGATCGTACCATATAAGGAAAGAAAAATGGGGGAGAGATTCATGTACTCGAAGTGAAAATCAATCGCTTCTTTGTGTGTGTCGGAAGCCTTGAGACACAGTAATGAGCAACTGGATGTCCCGAGCCTTTGCCTTTCCTGTTGTCTCTGTGTTAGTATGTCGTAAATAAGTTATTTTTTGAGAGCCTTACATGTGTATGAGGGTTGAAATCATTCTCTCTTGACATCCATACTATCTCCCCTTGCTAGACTTATCAATTCCTTAATCTCATCTGTAATCCGCTTGGTTTCCCTGTCCGCATAGATTCCGAGAGAAGCCATTGCCACATCCTGGAAGAATTTTGCCAGTGATTCGGTAGCCCATGACCCAAATTCATCCCGATCTCCCTTTTTCGTCCCAATGTCAATGTACAACTCTACCACTAGTTGTCTAAGGCGAGTTGTTGAATATTCGTCATATAAGAGTGCGAGATATTTTCCTCTCACGGCCAACCCGCCGATCGCCTGTTTGACAATCATATCAACCACCCCCCTGCAAAAGTGCTCATCCTAAACTTGAATTCCAATTAAATACGTCTGGAAGAGATCTAAGACAGTTCCTTCCCTTTTGTACACACCACAATCATCATCATCGTCATCTCCTACTCCTTCTTCGAGATCTTCTCCACGGTTGATGAGGCGAGTGTAAAGCCAATCGTAATATATCTCAAAAGAATACTCGTAAAATTCGTGCAATAACGCCCATTGGTAGGGTTTGTGCTCACTCCATTGTTGTCGGCATAATGGACATGGTGCAGGCCCTCCTTCGGCCGGCTGACGCTTCCATCGAGTGATGCAGCCGAGATGAAAATTTCCCCCACAACTATTGCAGAATGTAATATCTTGAACATCAAGATCTAGACCTCTACGGAAAATTGAGCAGTTGCCCTCAATATCTTGTCTTCTTGGTTGGAACTTCCGACAAAAGAATCTTGAGCGGGCGCAAAGCAGGTCTGTGTGTATAGCGAATGTCTTGGTCGACCCAGGGAAACGCAATCGTACAATTCCCTGACCATGCCTGACTGGGAATTAATTTCCTTTTGCCTCTTATCATATTGCAACGATATGGGGTTGTATTTGCTGTGACTCAAATTTGGATAGCTCAATTGGAGATTCAACTTACTTCATGATTCTCTTGCTTGGTACTGAGTGGATATCTCTTTTCCACACCGATGGCGCAACGTATTGGTTTTAAAGGCTATGGTTTGATACAGCATACACAAATTTGGGAAGTTGTCAAGCGGATGAAAGGTGGAAGGAAGGAAGGAAAGAACGAGGGAGACAATACTTATATACCTCCGTGGCAACAAGATTAAGAGCCTTCACATTTGCAGGTAAGGGCGCCGATAGTCTACTGGTAATTGTAGCGACTCCTTCTCTCAATACAGTAAAATAGAGTTCAAGCTACAAAGTTTGAAAAATGTTGCAGCCAGTCTCACAGAGGCACCATGTCATGACACATAAATCACTTTGTTAAATTCAGGAATAATCGTGCCAAGTAATTACAGCAAGCTCTCCGTTATCTCTTTCGTTTACTTCAAACTCGAGGATGGTAGGCAATCTTGCTTCCGAGTACTATACCTATGGAAAGCCAAAGGTTGCAAAAACATATAGAACAATGATGCTACAAAACTTTTCCATTGCATCATCTTCAGTTGGAGAAGAAGAGGATACGCTTGAATCTCTTGATGATACATGTGCTGGTCGCCAAAAGAGATGTAATCAGCGCGTATGCACCTCCAGTGAAATTTATTCCTACACTTCATTCGAGCGAATGAATTCTTCGATGAACTTCTTCCAAAGATCTCTAGCCTCATTGATATGCGTGACGGGCTTTCACTTGGACTGTGAGCCGATCAGCCATAAGAACGTCTGCATCTCATTGTAGGCTTCCCGATCCGCGGAAGCCAAATTTGCGCTTTCCCTTCGAAAGAATGTGTCCTGTTGAACGAAGAATAGATCCCGGACTTGAGACTTGAACCTGCGGTCTTTGAAGGCATCGCCAACAGCCATGAGGTTAAGCTTAATGAGCTTGTAAGCTTCAGACTCTGGCGAGATTGCCGGAATCATCAATTCAGATGTGTATACCCAGTCCAAATAAATCTGCACAGCCTCGACATCGAGTTCAGTCTCTACATCGAGATTGGACAGGGGTGAGTCCGTCTTCCAGCTGGCACGGCACATTGGACAGTTTGCTGGAGAGTTCCTTCTCCTAGCGGTGCTTCGATAATTCTTCCAATTCTCTATGCATGATTCATGGAAATTCTGGCCGCAGTCGGTGCAGAAAGAGATGTCTTTGACGACGGGATCGAGGACATCGGTACAGATGCAGCATTCGTCGGTTGAGGACATGCGTTTGCGACGTTTTTGGAGATGATCTTTGAAGAATTTTGAGCTCTTGCATATAAGATCTAGATTGTAGGGGTTCATTAGCTTGAAGACAAGATTTTGGTGTGATGGAGTTTGAGTGGGTACCTTCGTGGACACTGAAGCGTCGTTCTATATTGGAGACCTTGAAATGAACAATCCTGTTGCCGACACTTGTAGATATCAGCATCCGATTGACCCGTGACACAAAGATATATGGGAATACCTGATTGATCGCAGCTTTCTAGAAGTATCTTGAGACCTAGTATGTGCCATCTTTGTAGGGGGAAATGTCGTAGATGATGACAGCGGGTAATGGAAAGAAACAGAGTATATGTGGGGAAAGCTATAACCTAACCGACGGTGTGAAAGTGAGACCTCTGGTAGATCATTTGTTACTGGTGAATCGTGAATCCCGGTGAGAGCATTGTATGAAGACCATAGGGGCAAATTACTACTTTCAGGTTGTGCCAAGGCACTAGGCTGGTACGAGCAATCACGGTGAATTGGGGTTTTTCGATTGACTAGGTTCTTGCAAATCTCTAGCATCTCGATTCACAGGTCATGCGTTCATGTTGAAATCGCTCATAAAATCTATGCTGTATTCTTGAAGAGCACCACCAATGTAAGTTGATTCAAATCAGTTGGTTTCAAACTCTGCAAAAAAAGACAACCGTTCAACAACTACAGGACTTTCAAAGTAAGCGTCCTGAAATATGTGTGACACTTTCCAAGTCCCGAGTAATTCGAAGTCGTAGTTGTCGACCGCATGAACAAAAGCTTTGTTGATTGAACCTCCCATCTCCTCTGTTGCACTGTAGCTCTTGCAAGGGCCGTCTCGGTGGGCGATAGCGAAGCTATTGCTCTCATGATGAACGCATAGTACCAGTGTTGGTAAGAACCGAGGTCATGAAGCCAACACGCTGTCGTAACAAAAGCAGGTTGTAGTAAGGAGGATCGTGAATGGCCGCATGCGTTGAGAGAGTGCTACACAATAGATGAGAATCAAGGGTATCAATAATGATACACACGTGCTGATCCGGCCAAAGTTGATGAATGGTAAGTGAAACATTTCATCGGGTATCTCATAGTTCCTACCTCACGTGATCAGTGAAACAAGGTCGAACTTCCGCAATTCTTGCATAGCCATGGAAGACTCTTTCGGTTTTCATGCGTCGGGTCAAGATGCTGCCAGTACGAGCATGACGCCGGGCATCATTCTGAGTAAAGACAAGTCGAAGTGATGTTCAAACACCAATGTACCAGAGTTCGACGCCCAGGACCTCAAATTTCTTGCCCTCGTCGCTGAGTGGTTCGTTTCCAAATGTTGGACATGTGTCCGACACACCGTTCTCGAGATTATCATCTAGCCATAGGCCGTAGTGGCCATCACTGCGATACTGTCAGTATTGCCGTTCGCAATGGACAGCACATGTCAGCTTACCCTCCGCCAACACTTAGGTAGCTATGTTCACAGAAGATCATGTAGTCATTCACTCCGCTATAGGGAAATGCCTTGAATCTGATTCTCTCTGGTGTACTTGCGCCACTTCTGGTCGCCGGGCCATTCTCTGATAGAGCCAACTTATCGGCTTTTGTCTTTGGTGATGATATGGTTGTCATGCGAACAGCATTCGTTGTATCTTCCGAGGGAGGTGGTGGGAGATTCAATTGCAGATCTGGGAGACCAGCAAGAACGTGAGCGCGCCAGAGAAAGCATTCGCCGTTGCCATAAAATGACGAAGAGGGGTGGGGTGCGTCTGAGAGATAGGCGCCGAAGGTCTGTCGTAACATATCAGTACTGTTTTCTACTCAGGGAATGCTGGGTGACTTACGCCTCCGCTACCATCTCTGACCACGAGCACGAAGCCGCCTCTCCTCCCCCGGTATTCGTCAGCCTCTTTGTAAAGAGTCGCTAAGCTCACACCATTCTGCTCCAGACTGTACGCCAGGCTCCATTCGTCTACGAGTTGTAGCCTTGGTGGCAGGAGCAGCCTAATTTCTTCTGCCAGCGCTTTGCTTAGGAGCTTGCCATTCTCTCGCATTCCACTTCTCCACCCCTTTAGACTGAGTGGTGTCAACGGCGGCGGTTGGAAAGGGCTCGCTATGCGGTGTGTGGGTTGGAAGACGGAGTTCATGTCTGCGGAATCGGAGGAGACGAGGCTCGCGAGGGAGTGGGAGAGGGCAGAGGCAGTGGACTGCAGCTGTGCTGGTAGCCTGCCTATGCTATTTCGGTTGCTGTTGCTGTCGGATTTTGAGTGGGGTCCTGAGTTCGGACTGGACTCGGTATTCAATCGCCGCAGGATGCCTGAGACGGCATATGAGACCGGGTATGTGAAGTAGGACGAAGAGCGATTTGGAGTGGCACGATTTGGTGGCGGCGATGTTTGGGAGGATGAGGAGCGCAAAGGTGGAGACGACGGGGTTTCCTGTGCATGCGACATGACTGGCGGGTAGCAGCAGTTGTAGCAGTGTGCCTGGATTAATGTGGGTCAAGTGTTGGAAGTGGTGTGCTGGGGTGAGCGTAGGTCAGAGCAGCTGTGACGTTGCGGAAAACTAGTGGGCTGACGGCCGTCTGGAGCCTCACACGATATGCAAGGGGGGTGTGTGTTACATAAGCATCGTCTTGGGGTGTGGATGGGCTGATACATGTTGGGAGCTACGCTGGAAGCCAGTGACAGCGAGCTACGATACGGGGATGCATGCTTAATGGTTGCGCGCCTCTCTGCTTCCTTGATGTGAAGCTGCGAGAGCGCGCTAGTAGGCCGGTGGAAAGCTTGGTTCCCGCTACCCGCTAAGGCTGACCTTGTGCTTGGGCCGTCCATGGGGAACCGGGTTAACTTTTGCATTGCATGGGGGCATTGGATGCAAATGGGGAAGCCCGGAATCGCGGAAAGCCATGCTTCCAAGAAACACTGCTAAGTACTCTCTCCTCCCTCACTTGACATTCCACTTGATAGAGACTTGGGCATTGGGGCCCAGCCATGTTGCCCCCCCCCCCACTTCTGTCAGCATGCAGTGCAATCAATACACCACTTTGCTTTGACTGCTACCTTAATTGGCATCCCCGTGTGTGTGTGTGTCAACTAGCTCTATCTACTTGCCACACCATGGGCAAGTGCCTTTATCCATAGAGAATCCTTATGTAGCCTTAGCGGGTTCTGTCATAGGTTGCTCGTTCACTGTTTCTGCCTCTTCCGCCGCATCCGCATCCGCATCCGCAAGCTCATAATCTCCGGCCTCTTTCCCGTCGTCTGCAGCAGTTCCTACATCCTCTCCATTCTCCATATCACTCTTCAACTTGGCGCCTTTTCTCTCTGGCATGACAGCCATAAAAGCCTTGCCCCAATCCCCAAACTCCATCCATTTGAGCATAATCTCCAAAACGTGATTCGTGACCAGGACTTGCCGACTCTTCATTTCCAAATATTGACCAATAGGCAGCTTTGCCGTCTTGATGCCACGACTGACAGCTCGCTTGTGGCAGACGCCTTTGTGCCGGTTCTTGTCCACTAGACCCCCAATGATGTACGTGCTGTTTGGCTTGAGGTGTGTTAGGATCTCGTCCGACTCAGATGAAAGGTAGATAATCTCTCCTTCTCCTTCTCCTTCTTCATCTCCTGTGCTTTCTTGTTCACCGGAATTACCCGCTCCTACAGAGGCTTTCAATGCGCCAGCCACCTCCCCTCCTTCTGGTCCGGCCATCCATTCTTTCGCCTTCTCTGCCACTTCCACAAAGTCTTCCTCAAAGAATCGAAAGCCTTTCCAGCTGGTATATTGCTTCGCGAGAATACCATCGAAACGCTCCTTCATCTTGCCTCCAAAGCTACTTAGTGCTAAATGCGCTCTGAAGTCTGCCTTTCGGTTGTCACTATAGCATCTCGTAATCTGCAAGCCCAAGCTCTTAAGTTCATTGTCGTACATGAGCTCCTCAAAGTCGCAGTCGAAGATGACAGTGATGGGTACCTGCTTTCCAGGTCCTGCCGAATGCCTGGGCGGACGTGCTGGCAGCAACCTTGGTTTGTTGCCATTTTCATCTACTGGCATCTGTGCCAAAGCCTCTCTTCGCCGCTCTTTCTTTTCTTTGACCTTCTCTTTTCGCTTCAATTTACGATCTTCTCGCCCCGCTTCCCAGCGTTCGTGCCGCCGTTGCTTCTTGAGTTGGTTCTTCGATAACTTTGGCTCTCCACCTTCCTTCTCAGTAACTGCTTCAATTGAAGATTCAGCGCTACCAACTGTTCCCTCATTCTCCGTGTTCGTCAAGACATGTTCTGTGGGTGTCGTGACTGCGGGTGCGTCTTTGATCATTTCATCACCACTTGCAACATCCAACTTGCGCATCTTTGCAGGCCGCTCCTCTGAATCCATCTTTTTGCAGTTTTTAGTCAAAGGTTGAAAATCTGTCGTAAAGACGCCCACCCACTCAGCGTCGACAAAATTATGCTCGCTCACATCTTAGCGCGCCAAGCCAAGCCCTGGTCATGGCAGTGTCCCGAGCTGGAACCTCAGTTGACGTCTCCGCATTCACGATACCCTTCCAACACCAATTGAACCACGAACACGACCGCCCATCATGCCGCAGGATATGCCGCCACAGGGCGGCTATAGCCCCGTCCAGTACAAGCGCAACTTGCCTGTTCGAGGCTTCCGTCCCGCCGCATACATTATCGGAACCGCGGCACTCATGACATATGGATTCTGGAGGGTTGGCCAGGGTATCAGGGAGCACAAGTACGCGGCATTCTCCTGAAAACACAGATTGGCGATTACATGGCTCGGTACGAAATGCTGACATCTGACAGCGAACTCGCGCGCGAGAAGATGTGGGCGCGGATACACCTTATCCCAGCACTACAAGCAGAGGAAGACCGTGACCAAGTGCGAAGATATCTGGCCGACAAGGCTAGGGAGAAGCAACTGTTGGGCACAGAGACAAAAGTCTATCACAGCGACAGGTATGTGTCGAACGGGCCTGTGGTGCTTGCACGAGCATTGGCTAACTGCACGGATACAGATTTGTTCGACCTACATTTGCCATCACACCCGAGCATGAGACCAAGTAGGGACCGGGGTATCACTGTATATATCAGGATGAAATCAATGGTCTCTATTCGGCTTGATATTCATCATCTCTTTAGAGGCAAGTCGAGAATACATTTATCTGCGCAAGGACTCGATGTTCGTACATGGACGTAAATGTGAATATGGGATTTTCGTGATCTCAGAGATCCAGTTGCTTCAGTAGCATGGCTTTGGAACCGTTGTGGCTTTGACGGTGATGCTGAATGTTGGCCCATCTGCGACAGGTTGGTGTATCCTTGCTGAGCTGGATTGAGCTTTGCGGATTCTCTGTATTGGCGATCCGCAGTTCATGCAACAACTGAACCACTGCAAAGCGCTGCTATGAGCAAGTGCTACAACATACTCTATAGAACCTCCGTCTTTTCTGCCTATCTCACCACATCAACCATGCGCCCCCTTTCCATTTTCCATCCATACCATATCATGCGACACTGATACGCCCCCTTGAGGTGATGCTGCAATTTCATCTTTAATTGGACTGTTCACGAAATCTTTCGCCGCTTCTAAAGCTACAGTGTCCGCCCCCGCATTGACTTACATTTATCCCGCAGCTACTACCAGTGGTGTCGTTTTCACGCGTATTGTAGGCGACCAGGAAATCACAGCCAAGGGAACCAATGCTTTTTACACTGACTGAACTATTCTCTACCTTGGCTCGCCACCGATACAGTGCCAGAATATCTTCCTCATAGCCATACCTAAATCTTCGTATCTACTTGCACACGCTGCAATTATTAGACATACACGATGCTGCACCAATTGCTGGACTCGATATATCAATGGCCACCGAATATATGAGATTACGCACTACAACCCCAATCCCAATCCTGGGCAGATTAATGAAACGTTTTGCGTGTAAAAGATTTCCGATCAGGCCGTAGGCGTTGGTGCACAGCTGACTAGATTGTTATGACATGATTGTGTTGTGAACAATGAATCCCGACATGACGCGCGAAGTTTAGGAATAATAGTCAAGACTCAATCATGGTAGAAAGTGATACATATACCTGTGACTGGATGGCATTTTTATATGGTCAGAAGTATGTAGGCCGACCGTTGACGCGCATATATATGGGTGGAGCGAAAGGCGAATGAGGGCTGTTGCATCCACCAGTCCTGGCTTGGGGGGTGGTAATGGTGTTTTTTGTAATAAAAAAAAGGCCCGATCCACTCGCTTGACAGCGTTCGAGACTATGAATCATGCTGCTTTGCGACCATTCTCAATGCGTTATTTTGAGTACATACACCAAAGAGAATCTGCTTCGCCTATACATAATATATCATCATATCGTGTCTTGAGAAGGATTATGCGATTTCTCCTCGCCTGTGACCATCAGCATACTAGAAATGAAGATTTTGCAGTCAAGACATCAACCCAAGCAAGGGGTGTCGACCTCGACTTTGTCTTTTCCGGGAGGACTTCACTTTGAAACCTCTGTACAGCCTCTACGTATTGTTGTACCAATGATATAGGTTGTTAATGGACGTATGCTCATTGATTAGTCGTCAGCTGTGGTAGCAGCACAGGCATCAAACCAGCGAACCATAGTCGTACTGAGAGCACACAGCACCGCACAGCGCATGAATGCGTATAAATCTCATGTTCTTCGCCCGTCCTTCTGGTTTATATAATCTCCTATCTTTCTTTCCCTTAATCTTCTTTCTATTGTAACATTTCTTCTTACAAGTATGCTGCCATGTTCTTTCTACCAATTATTCGTACAGCTTACCCTTGAGGGGCCAAAGCTGTCGCATTATATACCGATCTTAGTTGGCATATCTTTGAACACTATAATCTCATTTTACAATCTACAACACTGGACACCTTTCTGGCTACATAGTATTTGCACTTATCTGTCACCGGGCTTCTGTCACACTGAGTACCTGTCTGGAAGTTACTTTATCGCGACCATTCACTCCAACAAAACAAATCAACCAGTTATAGCTTGGGGAATCCCCGTGCAGCTACGCGGCCCCTTTCAAGAACGCAGAAACGTACGCAGCTATGTACATACGGATGCCTATGAATCCGCCATACTTACTCTGTCTGACTCTTCAATCCCATCTCGGCCGTCAATCCGCTTCTATCCCATTCTTATAGATCCTACCGCTTAACGTGTATCACCAGTGTGCGCCCCACCCCAGTGTGCGCCCCACGAAATCCTAGTACCTCACCTTCGTAATAACAACGCGTAATGTCTCAACAACGCCAAGCTCTAAAGACCTATACTGAAGCTGACGTTACTATTGCTAT